ACGACACACACACACACACACACACACACACACACACACACACACACACACACACACACACACACACACACACACACACACCACGGCTCGCAAGGGCTCGCGAGGGAGAGCGCTGAATTCGCCTTGTCCGACTAGTGCTTCGCGAGAACATCGCGGATTTCACTTGCATTCTCCGCCGTACGATTCTCGCCGTCTTATCGGATATATAAGATATAAAGTACATTAAAAAAAGCCGACGAGCCGTTTTCAATAGAAGGGGATAATGTAACGCAAAGATCTTCGTGTGTTTCAAGAAAGTTTGGGAAACTTTCAGTTTTCGGATAACTTGTTGAAATCTAAAATCTAATCCTAAAAATTGTTGGACGCGAATGTGCAAACCGAGACTTTAATCCCTTTGATTTTGACTGCTTAAATTTTTACAAGCTTGTATATTGGACATTGTATTTTCTTTTTTTTTTTTTTTTAACAAATTGATAAATTACTTATATAATTCCATTGATTATTATAAAACTTGTCTATAAATTGATTCGTACAATTGTATAATGCACACATGCACGAAGAAATTATGTAATCATGAGACGAAAATAAAAACTTGTCGTACGTTGCGTTTCTTACATTAGACACATGATTAACTGATTTCTCTGGACTTTGCATTTGGATAGGCCGTGATCCACGTGTCGCACGTGCTCCAATGCCGTTGCCGATTCACGCCGGTAAACGATGTTTTTCCGCGGAACGCGCAAATGCGAACAAGAAGCGACCCCGAAGTGAGCTCATCCTCCCTTCGTTCGGGGAAGTGAAACAAGCAGCCGGATCATTAATTACATTGACGTACCGTGACCGTGTTTTTTTTTTTTACCGATTTTCTGGAACTAATGCCGCAGATCGCAGACTCATGCAGATTCGGCTTTTACTTGCCGGCGGCCACGTGACGGATCGTCGCACACCTCGAGCGATCTAATCGATATTGACACGCCTGATGTCTATGACTCTACCTCATGAAAGTTGACGCGCAGCTGGGCTTCCGGAGCCTTATGAGGCTTACTGTTATAAAATCTCTATCCGCGTGTGACGGATAAATGATTATTGTATTCACGGTTTCTTTTTTTCTCATAGAACGATTATATGTACCTGTACAAAGATGTACCACTTCGTTCGGTTGAAGGAATGACTAAATGAAAGACTTTCGTGAACATGTAACCCTGAAGAATTATGGTTTTCTACTCAAATCTCGCTAACAGCGATTCAATTTTAAAATATGCTCTAAAAGATTCGTCAAAGTATCAATCTTGTAACAATGATATAATATGCATATAATTATGCACATAACATAAAATCGACAAAAGAACATGCCACGCGTGCTCTCTCTCTCTCTC